ATTTCCTGCTCCGCTAGTTCTTGAGCTGCGTGAAGTCGGTCCAACAGCTCAAGTACGTATGCTACTACCGAAGGGTCGTCCGCCCGGCCCTCCCAAGATTCTCGAACAATGCGAAGTGGGGAGCGAAGAGCACGTCCGTAAACTAGCTCCGCAGGCGAAAACCCTGTTGATTCGTGAGGAGCGACCCGAAGCGCGAACATAGCTGCGGGCAAGCAAGCCTCCCAATCCTCTTTTTGCTCATAACAAAGGGCGCGTAGCAGCCGTTCATGACTGAATGTACCTTTTCTACAGCATTTGACTGAGGGTGGTACACTGAACTGTGGATGATTTTAACACCACACTTTTCTAGAAATGTCGAGGTTAGTGCACTTGTAAAAACAGATCCCTGGTCGGACTGAATTTCTGCAGGGAAGCCTACACGTGCAAAGATAGATAAAGCGCTTTAACTACCTCTTCCGAGCTGAGCTCCTTTAACGGTACTGCTTCCGGGAATTTCGTGGCCGGGCAGAGCACTGTGAGTATGTGCCGGTACCCGGACTGCGTTACAGGAAGTGGACCCACTGTGTCTATAACTAGCCTGCGAAACGGTTCTGTGATAATGGGGACCAGCTTCATAGGTGCTTTAGCCTTATCCCCTGGCTTGCCAACGCGTTGGCACGTGTCGCAGCTTCTTACAAATGCCTCCACCTCCCGAAAGCAGCCGGGCCAGTAAAACTCCCGTAACAAACATTCTTTTGTTTTTTTGATGCCGAGATGCCCTGACCACAAACCTCCGTGGACCAGGTGCAGCAGCTCCTTGCGGAAAGGATACGGTACGACTAGCTGATTAAACCGAACTCCTTTTCGACTCGTGTACTTTCTGTACAAGACGCCCCCCTTCTTGGTGAACTGAATGTTTTGCTTAGCCACCCCTTCCTTCGCGTCTGGCGTTAGGTTACGGAGAGTGGAGTCATTTTCCTGTTCCACTATCAGTTCTGTAGGACTTACATTTAACAGCTTTATAGTGCATTCTACTTCTCGAGATGCCTCGGATTCATCCGGTTTCTTACATCTTTCTTTAGATATTGTGTTTTGAGGCTCCATTATAGGGTGGTCCAGTTTCGTGCCAGGTAAAGAAGGCTCTGCCGCTGAAGCTGTTTCGTCTGCCACCGGATCTTTATAAACTGTCTGAGCGGCGAGCTCCCTTGCTTTGGATCGAGTTAAGGCCTGTACGATACCCTCACTGAACCCAATTCCTTTTTGTCGCAGCAAGTACTCTGATTTATTTGAGAACAAATACGGGTATTGCACTGGGAGATGTGCCGAAACGGCAGCTTCAGTGTCTAGAACACCGAAAGGGCCTTCGATGCGGACTCTTGCTACTGGGAGACATGCACTGTTTGTCTCTACTGCTTGTCTTATCCATGCGCATTCTCCTGTAAACTGACTCTCCTCGACATAGGACGGGTGCACTACATCCATAGTGGCGGCCGAATCGCGGAGCACGCGGCACGGTTGGCCGTTCACGACTAGGTCTCGGATGTATGGCTCTAGCAATTTCATGTTTTCGTCATTACTACAGAGTGACATTAACACAACTTTCGGGTTCTTACAACCCAAAGAAATATGCCCCGTCTGTTGGCAGTTATAGCAAACTATCGGCTTCTTGGCCTCGAACGCCTTTTTCTGTTGCCCTTCCGCCCTTTTCTCGGGTGCTTCTTCCTTTCTCTTGTTTTTCTCATCACCGCTTCCTTTGGAGTGTAAACCCTCCTTCGGCATATACCGACCCGACTTTGTCCATCGCGGAGGCTTGTCGGCCCGATATTTACTAATCTCCCTCCTAGGGACATCCTCGCCTTCGAGGGCACGGCGATTTACGTACTCCTCTGCGAGCTCTGCCGCTCTCGTGATAGTATCTACTCCTTGTCTATCCTGAACCCAGTACCTAATGTTTTCAGGTAGACGCCGAAAGAATTGTTCCAACGCAAAACACTGCAGAGTCTTTTCCGCGTCGCCAAGCGCACCCTCCTCTCTAAGCCATTCCTCCAGATTTACCTTTAAGGTGTACGCAAACTCTGGGTATGACTCGTCTTTGGCTTTCTCGATCTCACGAAATTTTCGCCTGAACGCCTCCGCTTACAGTCTGTACTTTTTGAGCAGACTCGCTTTGACTCTGTCATAGTCGTCTGCGTCTTCTTTACCCATACGGGCTATAATGTCAGCTACTTCACACGGCAGCAGCGTAAGCAAGCGCTGGGGCCACGTGTTTTTAGCAAAATTTTCCCTCTCGCACGTGCGCTCAAAGTGCACCAGAAAAAGACCCATGTCCCCTCCTACCGCGTAGGATGGCATCAAATCTGTCATTCGGCGCTCTCTTTCTCGTGCCACTGCGCTAGCTCCGTTCATTGATTGAGCCTTTGCTAGTTCAATTTCTAGGCGTTTCATTTCCATACGATCGATACGTTCTCTTTCCCTTTCCTCTTTTTCCTCATGACGTCTCTGTTCCTCTTTTTCCTCACGACGTCTCTGTTCCTCTTTTTCCTCACGGAGCCTCTGCTCCTCTTTTTCCTCACGGAGCCTCTGCTCCTCTTTCCTTTGCGTAATAGCCTCCAAGCATTCGCTCAGCTCCTCGTCATCTGCCCCGATCTTCTCGATGGCGTCAATGATCTCCTGCTTTCTTTTCGTCTCGGCAATTACCTGGCCCAGCTCTCGGGCCAACTCTAACAACTCTGGTTTTTTTAGTCCCTTCAAATTCATGGCGGTCCTTGGTGCTGCTAACTCTTTTAACTAAACAACTTTGACGTACTATCAATACTTCCGTCCACCGTTACCAAATCACTGCTTTGTTTACAATCCTACGCAAAGCCTGGTGATATCTCAGCAAAGAAAAGCAGTGCACTCACCCTATGCAGTCATGAATTCGGACGCGTTCCTTCCAGTGTTGTCAGTGATGCCACGAAGCAGTTTTGTCCGACTCTAGGTCCTCCAGACAGCAGGTCTCAGCATTGCCTCCTGGTCGATGAGCTCGATCCCACCGCTGCCATCCAGTTGTTGGGACCTGAGTCCTGTGGGTCTCGTCGTTGGTAGCTGGCTCCCATCGGACTCGTCCCTTATAGCGAGAAGCAATGCTTATATGGGAAAACAGAGAACAGACGTTTATTTACATTAGAGAGAGGTCAATAAGAAAGTTTAGATATATAGTGGCGTTCTTCGTACATGGCGAGCTCTCCACTCGAAAAAGCACACCGAATGAGCCGTGGGGGCTCATTATAAAGGGTCTGTCCTCCCCAGATCCCTAGATCGGGGACCGAGTACAGAGGGCACCGTCCAATCACGGACCACACATTACCCGCGAGGGTGACGAGCACGCACGGTCCACGCGAACGTTCAAAACTGAAGCGTGGTCACCGCACGGCCATGTGGCACGAACGCGGCTCCCCCCCCGTCAAGGTGTGTCGCTGGGCGAGGGGTCTGAAGTTGATGACTGCATCCATCGAAAGGGCCGCCGTAAACAAGCTTCAAATGGTGCCGAACGATTCGTTCAATTAGCGGGACGATTCCCGGCCGCCGCCGCCGCCGTCATCTTCCAAAGAAGCTGCTGCACCGGTGGTCTCCCGAACTGCTCACGGCGCCGCGGCGGCAGGACGCCGCACCCTCCGGCCAGGTGGGAACAATACATGGCGGACACAGGCCGCCAACCCGTTTGGCGACTCAAAAGGAACATCAAAAGGAACGCCGATCCACTGTCAGACCTGGCGCCGGTCCTAACACTGTGAGCAAATGCAGCCGCTCCAGAGAAAAGTGCTCTTTTCACACGTCCCTTCGCGTTAAAACTGCACTAATAGTCGCCGAGATATCAAGCGTGCCAGCGATCGCAGCCGCCTGTAAAATCCAAGTTTATTATTGCTACTCGAGCGAACACCCCCTTCTCCCCGCGTTGTTTCATGCTCGTTTAAGATGGGTGGTTTACTTTCTGTTTGAGCATTCCCTGACAGTTCTAACACAAGAGAGATGTTATCTTATGCACTTTCCAGGCGATAAGGATGGGTCAACTCAATTTATCTCTGCTTCAGCGTTGGAGCGCTGTTACCCGCTCGTGAAAGTTACGATGCGCGGGAGCATGTTATCAATTCGGGCTTGTTACAACATGGCAGTGACGGGAAAAACCCGCCGAGAGTGTCCATATGATTGCTATCATAATAATAACGCAGTTTTTACAGTTAAAAATGTGGTGGGGTAGCTCTGCTTTCAGTACCCCTTTTGTTTAATTTGCACGTTTATTTTCCGAATTTTCGTACCGGACCTGCATATAACAAAATTTTCTTTATAACAAATTTTCTCGTAAATTCATCAATTTCGTTATAGCCAGGTTTAACTGTATTGCGACTTCGCCACGTTTGCAAAAGCGAACGCTCGTCTGGCATCCAATGTGCGGAAAACACGAGACCTCTCCCATCGGACCTGACACCGCACCAGCAACTGCTGCAGAAATTACTTGCAGCTGCAGAGCGAAAGAAGGAAATCCGCACAACAGATGAGGAACTCTCGAATGAAGTTCCCTTTGTTCACCACATCAGTTAGGCCTCCGCAGAATTTCGAGGTGGAGACGTTGAGAAAACACAGCCTTTTACTTCCACATGTAAAGTGCTGTCAACATCACTTTGGTAGTGCCAAATCACGCAAAGAAACATAAGTTCGTCTTTGCATTGCTTCAATTTTTACAAAAACAACTTGGGAACATAACTTGGAAGCATACCTCCAGCGCCTCACCAACCTAGCTAATAGAAATGCTTGCGCATTCTGTGTTCGTATCTCAAAACTCTATGCTTAGGCATCCTCTATGGCTTTTTTCTATCATTTTGCTTCAAAGTATTTAAGAAATATTAAAAAATATTCAATTCGATTGGTACTCTACCTTTAATACTCTCATTCCCTTCGCAACCAAAAATTTTACACTTACAGAGCTTTAGTACGTATCAACCCTAAGTGCTGCCGCCCTCAAGACAGTCAACAGTACCCACCTTGTTGACAAACTCGCGAATGAGCCGCAAGGCATGAGAGGCCTGGTACGATTCCTCTGTGTAGCGATCCACGACATGGCGGAGACCACTCAGCCGCAGCCACACCACGCTTGGAGCTGTGCCACCTTTGTTTGCCTGCCGAGACAGCTGCGGAGGACAAGAGACGTCAGCCAAACACTTCTACTCAATGGGATTATGTTTAAGCTGCAAAGGAGCATTTGTACAATAAGAATTAAACTTGCTACTCGACCAGACTTCCAGAGCTATCAACCATTGCATCATTTTGTCACTACAGAGTGAGAGTCCAGGAAATTTTGTTTTTCCAACAAAGTCTCTCTCTTTCAAAGGGAACCACTTCAATGCTAACACAAATGGCTGGTTGATCGGTTTGTTGGATTTAACACTTGAAAGTAATACAGGCTATAAGAGACGCTATACAGGAAGGCTCCAGATAATTTTGACCGCCTGGGGTTCTTTAACATGCGCAGACACCGCACATTACGGGGGCCTCCACCATTTTGCCTGCATCGGAATTTGATCATCACAGCAGGGATCAAACCTGCGTCCCTTGGGTTGGCAGCCTAACAAAGTCGCCACTCAGCCACTGCGGTTATTTCGGAGTGGAAACAAAAAGAGAATATGCAAGCTTAACAGAGGAATATGTTGCAAGCTAAGCTACCGGTAGGTGAGCCAACAGTGCTTACGAAAATCCACTTTGAAATGAAACATAGATGGAGGGCTCACTTACTTCATATACTGAACCACTGTCAACAAGAAACGCTTCACATTATTCTGCAGTTAGGCACCTACTGTAGGCACATATGTGCAATAATGGCCCCTACTCTTCTCTGCACGAAAGGTCACACAGGTGGAGCTGAATGTTGACACAGGCTAATGATGCCAGTGTACAACTGCACACATTATACTGTGCTGAATGCATATGCATTTGGAACATAAGTACATGCGCTGCTTTTCTTTGCCAAACTTCTCTTTACTATTGACATGCCCACTACAGTGCTGCCCTCAAATCATCCTTAACAGAAAAGGGCAGATTTACAAATATACAAATGATTTACTGGCATCAATCTCATTTGAGGAGCCTCTTTGGCTGTGTACTAATTGACAAGCCGTGCTGCAAGTCTGAAGCACAAAACTGGAGAATGAAACATGGCTACCCAATGGAAGCAAAGCAGCCCAGTCAACTGAAGCCAACTGTGAAAATCCACAATAGAAACATCATTTTCAATGCATGGCTAGCCAAACATTGCACTACCCTTCAGCACTGCATGGTCAACAGCAACAACAGTGGGCATGAATTCATCTGCAATGGTTATGGCAGAGAGTGGCTTGGTTTTAGTCCGATGAAATGCAAGCTCATTCAAAAGCCCAGCACAAGCCATCAAACGTAGCTGAGCGTTTTGACTATGATTCAAGTGTGGACACCACCAGCTACATCATGGTTATGCTGTTGCTCAGCAACTTGCTATACTGGGGGACAACTTATCTTAACATTGGGACAAAGGCTACAGAGGCAGGGCTTCCGCACTTTCATGTTGCTCTGCAAGTAGCATAGTGGCTTGCAGCTGATTTAAGTTTTGCTTGCTCGTATAGTTAGCCCATTTAGAAAATTATGCTCACAAATATACGAATGGGAGAAACAATTCGATGGTTCAGTGTACGTTTTAGTCTCACATTACGAGTATATTTGCCTTGGCGAAGTAAACAGTGCGTTTGTGGCTCCACACAAACCCACTTAGTCACGGACGCCATGTTTCTTTTGGGAAACTGGTGTGCTGAAAAGGGTCGCGCAGTAAAAAAAAGTGAAAGAAAGGGAATGCATTCCTGCAAAGTGAACAATAACTGCACTCTATGCATGACTTCCTGCCACTGTTTGAGTCTCATAACAAATAAAGCAGCATATATTTTAGTAAGAACAATAAGAAAAAACTAAGAAAATTCTCAGTAAACTTAAGTGCTTTTTTTTTTCAGCGCAGTAGCAAGCATTCGTTTCAGTTCAATAGCTTCCACAGAATTGTCAGGATAAGTTGTCGCCGAGTATTGCAAATATGACCAGGATGCACATATGCGCACACTATTGTGTGTTCCATGCTCGCCATCATGGCTGCGAGCGGTGCTGACTAACACTCCCAGGTTTAAATGCATATATATACCCCATAAAATGTACGGGAAAACAACTGCCACTCTAGCTCCATAGGCACAGCATCGGATGCGCAATTCAAAGGTCGTGGGTTCGGTCAATGCTGGGGGCAAGTTATTTTTTGTCCACTTTTATTTCTCCACAATTATGTCATAACAACAACAAATGAAATCTCCCACGTACTTCCCTTGGCATTATTGTCTGTTAGCTTTTATTAATAATGTACTTATCTTGGCATTATTGTCTGTTAGTTTTTATTAATAATGTGTAACTAATAAAAAAACAGCCCTTAAAATTTCCCTTGTTTTCTTCATTCATGATGACTCGAATTTACTTAGATCACACCTGCTGAAAGCATTTATTCGTCCTAATGTGATGAGAAGCATTAAAAATGGGCCAATTTTGCTCGAAACAATGAAATCGCAGGTTTCCTCAGTAAACACAGAAATGTTAAAGCAGCACACATTGGTTTGCTGTTTTCTTGATCCATTCATTAATAGAACATTTAATTAGGTTAAAGAGACCTCAATGTACTTTCTTCATAAGCTGAGAAATCTTGCAAAAAAGTCCATGCAAGAATCTAAGGACGCCAACACAGCTGCCACTACCACCCAATCAATCCGGCCAAGTGAAACAAAATGCTGGAGGATTGTCAACTTTTGTGAGTCCACAATTAAGGCACTAGTAATTTGAGTTCACGCGTGTAAAGTAACTATTGAATAGTGTTCATAGTGTTTGGCTCAAAAGCGCAGGACTACATGAGGTGGTTAGCGCAGTCAGGAATACTAAATCTGCTTCCAATGAACAAATAATTAAGGGGCTCACTTCTTGAACTGATAGACACACACTAATTAGGCTAATAAACAATGAACCCATGCTGAAACAAGCAGCATCATTATTAAACTGTAGCATAGTAATTGTGAAATATAGAAAAAACTTAATGTGACCAAAGAAAAAAAAAGAAAGAAACCTACAATCTTTGTTTTTCTTTTTTACGTATATGATTATTCAATTGGTATCAGGTTATATTATAAAAAGTATCAGGCTAGATTCAAATAAATATAGCACCTCACATAAAGTCCACGGCTTGCAATATAACCAAACAACTTTGAGATAGTAGACACCAAATATACAAACTCCAATTTTTTTTCCTATTTAATTCATTTCCACTTATGTAACAATTACTCTACAAGAGCTAAAAGCTACAAATAGGGTCCCTTATTGTTTCTCTTCTTAGCTTCACTATTCATCAACTTCATTATATTTTTTTTTTTTCACCATAAAACACCACTGAAGTGACCACCATACCTGCTCCAACATCAGCTTGGCAGTGTGCAGCTCAACAGCAAACTGGTCGTCTCCGGGCAGGGACACATTGAATGTGCCATCGCGGAGAACCTTGGCCAGCTCGGCATCCTTGACGGCTTCCTTCAGGCGGCTGTCCACCTCTGGTGAAACGGTGAGCAGCAGTTCTGGATAGGCCATCTTGGCGCCGTACAGCTGCGTTCACAGCAAGTGGTTTTAGTGAATTCCTTGTATAAAATGCCGATCAGGGAAGGCACAGTTCGATAAGAGTACACTGGATTTACTTACACTATACAGGCACTAAAAAAGGCACTTTCGAACATCACAAGGAAAGCGTCTGAGCGGCTGTCCATACGTCTTTACTCGACCGATCTTTCTTTTCGACTCACCTGCTCTGCTGCCACTAGTCTCCCCAAAGCACCCCTTTCACACCCCCCCCCCCCCCATATCCTCCTAATCTTTCCCAGAATGGGCTCACTAAAGAGGTGTAACAAAAAATGAATTTGTTGCCAAGCCGCCCACCAACAAAACGAGAAACGTGCACTGTTCACGACAATGGTAAATAGGGGGTTAACTTGGTAAAAGGGTACAATGGGAAATTATCAAGGTATGCCAGTTAAAACAGCAATGAATTAAACTCCTCAGGCAAGGAGCGCAATTACTTTTCTCCCTGAAGACGAAAATAATTGTGACATTATTAGTAAATCAACCTTCCACAGTACCAAGAAGGCTAGTATTATCTAGTGAAGAGGCCCCGTATAAGCTAGAAAAGATGCAAAGCCACACTGCCAAGGAAAACTAGCAACAGCTCAAGTGGGCTAAGTGGCGCTTGCTGAAGAATGAGCCAACTAATTAATAAATGGCCGCTCTTGATGTTGAGAGCGGCAGTCACTAACTTCTCAACAATGAGTTCTTTCAAGCCTGTTCAATGTGTGGCGTACGTGAGGCTTGTCTTGGATAGGAATGCACAGCATTTTACATCTTTTGTTTTTCTACTATTGCAATAAATACCTAACGACTCCTCTTTCCAAGCAAGAAACCTCACTTGGTCAAGCACGCAACAGCTATTAAAAGGCATTTTTAAAAGCATTCAGTGACAGTTTTGGCTACGCAGAGCATAGAGACAGGAAGAATCATGTTGGAGCTTTCAGTAATGCTACCAAGGACTTCTGACTTGGAGCAAGTTTTGAAGCAGTAAACTTTCATATTAGAGCACTTAGGAGCAGCACAAAATTTCTAGTTTCGGAGCATTCTCGAGCAGCTAATCTCTCATCCTGAAGTACCCTAGAGAAGCAAGTTGCAGTTTGTACATTCAAGAACTTATACAATTATTATGGGGCTTTTTTGAAGAGCCAGAAATATTTCTGTTGACTGCGAATCTCATGGGGACATTCATCGAGCCGTTATTTCACTCAATAATGCAGGAATCGAGGGCATCATGCACTTGAGTGTTCTCAAATAACCTCTTCAGTGAACTTTTTCGAAATTTGCTATTGAACGAAATACTCAATAGTTAAAATACAGTTTATCAAACCCACACTTTATGAAATAATACCCTGAACACATCTACACGGTTATCAGCACAAGTGCAGACAAACATCGTGACACAGAAGAGTGCCTCAATGCTAAAGAGTCCCACTACGACTAATGAAGTCCCCTAAGACAACTCAAAAGATGAAACCGACATACTTTTTACAGCAAACGCTGTTATGAGATCGAAACTCGGATCAGGCGCAACGCCGTAGCTGTCCGCCCCCGGCGGTGTCCGTAACCACTATCGCAAAAATAAGAAAACAAAACCTAGTACTAAGGACACAGTGGTGCTCGAACCCGGGTCCTCTGCGTGCTAGCCCAGTATTCTACCACTGAGCCATGCCGGTGCTTGGGACTTGTGTGCAAACTTGCCTTAGGCAGGCTTGATGCAGGGAAAGGAATTGCGTTAATATGACTAATAAAGCATTTTATAACAGCAAAAAAACAACCAGGTGTCACACAATGCGAACAGCGTAACAAGTGGGTAGTCCAATGGCCATTACAAAAGCTTGTTCGTGATCGCCTATTAACTGTGACGCATACCCACTTCAGGCATAAATCCTCCTCGTCGTCACCCACTGCATGAACAATTGGCACGAAATTCCTTGCAAGTGTTTAGCGGATACATACTACGCTTCTCGGAAGAATGACAAAGGATAGCATAGAGAATGCCGGCCTACTACCCAGAAATTCTTATTATTAATGCCGTAGTGGATACCCAGAAAGTGTGCTTGCAGCAGTTACCCACTGAGTGTTTACAAAAGGCTCTGAAAGGCCTGACTATTGCTGCTTCTAGCTTTTGTGCGACAATGCGGCCTTGTCTGCTCCCCGGAGAAATCCGAAGATCCTGAGAGTCTACAGAAGAGAATACGATCTGCAAAACTCCATAGACGTCTCAAGGCGATATAGGGGGGGAAAGAAGATTCCAGAAGTATCACAAATTAGGATTCTCAGCATGTGGATACATAGTAATTGTCGTATAGACCACACCATCAGACAGCTGTCAAACACTACAGCACAGATCACGAGGATGATAACCAAAATCTCTAACAGAAGACAGGGTATGAAGGAGGAGGACACTTGTAGGCTAGTACAGGACCTCGTGGTTAGTAGGATTGTATACAGTGCCCCCATCGAAAACACTTGCGCAGGAAAAAGAACAATTAGAGGCAATCCTTAGAAAAGCCTACAAATGCGCCCTTGGTCTATCAGTCGGGCACCCCACAGAGAAATTCCTTAAACTTGGGATAAACAACAAAGTTCAAGAACACATCGAGGCGCATCCTCTTGCGCAGAAAATGAGACTACTGCTGACTGCTACGAGCGGGTACACAGTTTCAGGCTTCGGGCATGACTTCGGGCTGTCATGCTCTAAGTCTGAAGAACAGCTCAAGCTGATCGACAGAGCTTGCAAGAAGGCAAAGGCCACAGGGGCCCTGGACTGCGGGCTCCACCTTCACCAGAAAAAGAAAATATTTGCAATAAAGTTTTGCATTCATTCTAGCTTTTGCTGTGACTGTGCTGCGGCTTCCGCGCAAGCCTGGCATTTTTAACTGTACTGCTTGGCACAACATGGCATGCCATAGCTAGGCTCGAGAGCCAAGCTCTTCCAACACATCTTTCCCTCTCTCTGCACTAGAAAGAGCATTCTCAGAGTGCTTTCAGACTATGGCTTGCGTGTATGCTAGATTGACTGGAAATAGCAATCCAATTTGAAGGAACACTAAAGAGGAACAATGACTTAGTTTAGATTGACAAAGTGCTTGACAGCTCTAATGCAATATGTTTCACCATCATAAGTTCATTTATTAGAGGGAAAAAGGCAAGGTCAAAGTTTCATTTTTAAATTTCATGCCAAAATCTCTGCGCTGACATAACAAATTTCAAACTGTATTCACAGTATTTTCATGGCACTCGGCACGATAAAATCTTCTGAAACACTGTATGCTAAGTCAAGTCTGTAGCACCCACAGATTACAATGTACTACATTTTTATCAATTAGAAGCTATGTAGGACTCGGTAGATGCCTTCAAAATTTTTTACGTGATGGCCTTTGGAGCGGGAATCTCAAAGTGGCATCACCACCTGCATTTTCTTTTCATGCGTTTCCTCTCTTGCTAAACGTAGTGTCGCGGTAAGAGTGGTTTTCGAGATTTTGAACCTGTGCTTTACTGGTACACGAGAAATCGTTTTGCTCTTTAGTGCCCTTTAAAAGGGCCCTGCAACACTTTTACAAGTAGCCATGAACTGGAAGATTCACTAAAAGAGTTTATTGCCTCATGAATTCACCGCCACAAAATTTTTAAAACCGTCCAGTACGAGTGGAGTTACAAAGATTTGTTGCACAATGCAATGGCATTCTGTGTTCTTTCGCCTCGACGAAAGTACTGGAAGCTAAGCAGGGGCAAAGAAAATAAGCCACATGTGCATCGTGAGCTTGAGCACTTTTTCTTTTTTCGAATGTGCGGCTTTTTCAGTGTGATCGCGCACGCATGCATGGAAAAGTCGCAGCATCACAACGATCCCTGTAATGACCAATCACGCCATGTCCAAATAGGTGAATGGTTGATGGAATACCTCTTACGAGTGATTTTTGAGCTTGTTGCGTGATTTGTCGACAGAAGAGAAAGCAATTTTTAGCTGAGTTAGATAATTTATTGTGAATTCCAGGCTGCATGCTCCACTATAACATTTGGCTCGTGCATTCTCGGAGGCCTTGACTACTAGGGGGCAGTGTTTTCTCACCCTGCTCAAAAAGTGCTGCAGACCACTTTAAGTCAAGCATTTGCAAAAGCATCCAAAAGTGCATTAAACAGAAGACTACACGGTATAACAAACTTCTCTTTTCATACGACTACAACATTCCATTCGTACACCAAAAACACCAGATGCCATCTAGAGAGCAGTGCAAAAAATGATGCGTATTGAAGATTAACAGCCTGGACATTCACAAACTCGTCTTGCACAACAAAAAAGCTTCCACTACGTTATATCTGTGCCGTGCACTAAACGGCTTCGCTGGGTCGTCCAGGTAACAGAATGGAATGGCTCCTCATTTTTTAGCAGCGAAGCTATTTAAGCTGTCGGCAACTTTTGCTCCACTGTGCGAATCCTCAGGTGGTTATGCGCCACAAGAATAGGGCAAGCCTCACTACGGAATGCAGCTGGTGCGATAGCGAGCGCTAATTGAATAACTCTTCTCAGCGAAGTAATGAACGTGCAACTCATGAAAGGAAAAAAGGAAGAAATAAGGATTAAAATAGAAGTAAATAAAGGGAACAGAGACAAAAACAAAGTGACAGAAAAAGACACAAAATACGGAGAAGGCAACATGACATGAATTAGAAGAAAAGAAAGAGAGAGCAAGCCAGAAAGAGAAATAGATTCAAAGAAAACAGAAGCAATAGAGAGAGAGATAGAAAGAAAGGAAAAGAAAGATAGAGAGTATGAAAGATACCAAAAAGAGATACAAGAAAGAAGAAAAATTAAGGTAAAGAAAGAAGGCCATCCTGCTCTGCTCTTCTTTCAGACTTGGCAACACTGTAGTGGGGCTCCCGAAACAACTTTCTTTTTCTGCTTGACAGCTTATGGTCGTCGCCATTGCAGTAATTTTCAGTAAAAAGTCCAAATTAATAACAATGTCCGGCGCATCGTATGTTGAACCCGCACGTACAGCAAAACCTCAATAACTCGAAGTCACCGGGGTCACGAGAAAGCTTCGAATTAAGGGGGTTTTCGAATTGACAGAACATGCAAGAAGTGAAACGCAAGAAACTTTAAACTATTCAATGTAATCAGTGCTCGTCGCTTGCTGTGCTGGCTAGCTTACAAGTGCAAAGGTCATGTTTTCCAGGATTACCTGGTCTTTATTTTGCCGCGAACATGGAGGAACGCTGAGCCTCGCCACTGTGACCGGAAAAAAAAAAAAATGCTGCTCGTGATCGACTGATATGTGCGCCTGCAGAAATTAAGACGTCTTCACTGCAACACAGTAGTGACATGCGGGCAGCGTGTCGCCAGCTCCTCGCTTCGTCAGCACGTCATGATGCGACCATTCGCACAATTTTCTATTATAGTTATGAATTTAATAATAGCCAGTAGTACGAAGGTCACGATGTGTTTTGGCTGGAAAAAAAAATTATCTTTTAGACTTTCGACCTTAGTTTTCGAAGTAGGTGTTGCTGGGAAGAACTCCGCCAGCAGTGCAAAGACCCGAATTGCTGGAGCAACCGGCAATCACAGGTTTACATACATCGCGATTTCTGCTAAACTGTCCTTAATTAATTTCTTTACAATCCCAGAAAGAATGGGCAAACGATCGACGCGCTGACGTTTCGAGAAACATGCAATAAACTGCCTGCGTGTCACTGCTGTGTTGCAGTGAAGCATGCTCGTTTTCCGCAGGCACACGTTTTGGTTGACCATGAGACCGCTTTTTTCTTTTTGCGCTGGAAGTAACGAGACCGGGGTGCTTCAGCTGCCACTCGTTAATATAGATACGTTGCATTGCCTCGTGGCTATTAATAACCGTCGTTCCACGGATTCGCGGCGAAATCGGGTTCAGGAACTGGCACCTTAAGTTTTTGAATTAACCGGACTGGTGCTGGCCGCCGTTTCAATTATCCACTCATACTTACATTGCAAAATACGGGACCGCGGAAATCCTTCGAATTAAGCGGGATTTCAAATTAACGAGGTTTTACTGTAGAAGCTTTCAAGTGCTGGCGACGAACTGCAGCTGGAGTACAGTAAAACGAGCCGGCCGTCTTTGTCGCACAGGGGTATATGGTAACATATCGCATTGCACGCAAGGCCTACTATTCGTTGATAATCAAACAGAGAGGAAACAACGAACCCGTCTTTAACAGGGAGCGTGAGGAGACAGGAGGCAATCGGATCGGAGGGGGCTGCGTTGCTTAAAAGGCACGGTGGCAGATGCAAGCACCATCTTGACAGGTATCAAGAGATATGTCATAAACTTGAGGTGTCCTCAACAATTATTTCGCGCTTGGAGAGCTGATAGCACGACAGCCACTTCGGTCCTTCAAGCAGCCGTATTCTAATTAACCAGCGCATTGTTGAGTTGGGTGAGACAGGATGCGAAAGAGTTACCTGCTAGCCTTACTTCGTATAAGAATACAATTTATCGATACCACATTCACTGCTTCATCTTCGTTCAATCCAACTTTTTGTGACTGTCAGCTATTGACCGTGAGAAGCGAGAGGCAGAGATGTACTGTAACTGTAGCTGCTTCAGAGTGGGCCTTCCGATGCCATGGCTGTCAGCGACAGGCCTGCGAATGACAACTGCACATATTAAAACAGAACTTTGGCTGCTTCAACCAAGTGGCATACTTTTATTAAGATGAGAAAAAAAAAAACATGCGAAATATTCGAATCGAGGCCCTCAAACTCATGAGGTCGAAAGGACAGGGCCTTTCAGGAGAGACATATGGTGGTGGAAGAACATTACGAAAAAGTTCTTCCGGATGGACATACATGGATAAAATACTTTTTAGGAAATGCGTTCCCACCATTCACGGGCTTTTCCGTGGACATGAAGAACAAAAAATTTGATATTCTTTCATATATCTATTGCTTATTTTCTCTGATATTCTGTGACGTCCAGCAACACAGGTAACAGACATTTTAGTGGCATGCATGTAGTTATTACTGAGCATTGGTTTATTTACATGCCATGCCACACCTTAAACGGGCTATCAGCAGTGTTTCTGGAAAAGAAGACCAGTGCCGGTGAATCGTCTAAACAATTTTTCGCTACCGTATAGCCTAAGGGTCACAAGCCTCTGCGAAGAATGTGTTTTAGCATCAAGCCAAATTAAAAGCTACATTGGCGTCAAGCATGACACGATGGCTTACTCAAGATGCATATGGGAACGCTGTTTATTGAGTGAAATATTTCTTGGTTCCCGTCAGTGATGTTGGTGGCTCCAAGGTCAAGGTGCACATGTTTTGACATAACAGCGGTGCAATTGCCAGTGAAGAGACACCCCCAAACCCGAGACTCTGGCATAGTCTGGCACAAATTAATTCTAACAGGATGACACAATAAATCCAATCTGACAAACTTTGGAATAGGAGCTGAATCTGAGTGTTTTAGCCAAACTGGCCATCAGACGCGGTCACCACACGCGAATGTGCGCACACAAGCACTGCACTGAGAACTGTAGCAGAGAGCATACGCAAGGAGCATGGAAGCCTACAAATACTCGTGATGTAGCCGATATATGACTATTTACATCACAACTAAGCTGATGTCCATGTGAGAAAGTTCTTTGTTTTGCATTCAGCTGCACGACTCAAATTTATTTCAAGCCTATTCTAGGCTATATTTGCCATTGATATTCAGCAGATCATGCTCTATGTTTATGCAAGATACTACTCTGTGTTCACGAATAGCTTCCAGTTGCTACTGAAGGCTAATTTATATAACATGTTTCCTTCAGAATTTTCCTTCAGCACTTCTGTAAGTGTTCAAAGGCTCTCAAAGGCGATTAACTCCAGCAACACTGAAGAGCGCAAAGCGAGTAACGCTTCTTTTTTTTATGCCAAGCTTTGCGTTCCCCCTCTGAAATACAGATGCCGACATACAACAATGCGTGACAGTCAACGCACCTTTTCGCCTGTCTTCATGTAGAGGACCACCGGTTCCTGCTCTGCAAACCTCTCCAGTGTTCTGACAGACAACAACTCCAGTTGCTGCTGAAGGCTAACGTCCTACAAAAGAAGTGCGCCCAAATGAAACATCCCATTTATTTTATTTATTTCATCAATTATTATAAATCAGTTACACAGTACAGTGCACACATGTAAGCGACAGAGTAGGCAAAAGGAAAATTAATGCCTGACAAGGTGCCGTAACCCGTCCCAGTCAATAAGGCACGCAAGGAGCAGTAATGTACACACGTTAAAACAAAATTAAACAATGAAGTAGCGACCATTTTACAATTTTATAACAGGTCATTAAGCATCTTTAGAAAAACAGCTACACTTTGAGGCCTGCCTGTAAGACCTAGTTTATAGTATTGGTGTAGTGCAATAATCTTTTTTTTTTTCAAGGACACAGAAACAAGAAATGTGTATAAATACCCATACTTTTTAAATAACAACCATGTCGTTAAACTCACTGACTTGAAATGCGACAGATCTGTTTATACGTCAATTTTAACAAAACCCTGTGTGATTTACTAATAGGAAGAGGACAAAATTATTGTTGAAGCGATACTAAATATGAGTGTATTTTCTTTTTAAATGCAATTAGCTGAGCTGCCCTCTTTCACTTTGGTGGTAATTTCACGATGTGTATTCAATATCTCAGGGATCATCATCTTCCAACCTTTGTGTACCGTAGTTTGTTTTCCTGTGCTGCAGTACATTATGCATCCAAAGCTGTACATGTATGTATTCCTTCTAGAAGAATATGCATCGTGAATTGCAACCGCGTTAGATTTAAATTTATCACATATGATCATCGATATTTTTTGTTTAGAATGTTTGTAAACGTCGATATGCTCTGTGAAAAAGTACTTTACATTAACAGAAATGCAATTGCAGTCCTGTTATTGTGAAATTGTGTAGCAGCAAAACCCCGTGATGACCCAGCCTACTTCAAGCGAACATCCAATTCTGTGAAATATTCGCGACAAAAAAGTCCCATTTCGATCTCTTGCTGGCAAAAATCACCAGTGAAGTACCAACTTAGCCTTGCTAAGATGAAAGCTACTCATACAACCAGTCAGTTTTGTTGCCTGATATTGCGATGAATGAGCCACGTCTCCAGTATATAAAGCATAAATTCTACAAACTTAAATTTAAAAAAATTTAAATATTAAAAAAGATTTTAATATTCAGCATAAGACAAATCCAGACAACAGGCTGAAACTTAGAACTAGAACTTTGTAGAACGGAAATTTATTTAATTGATGACCGCGCATTACTCTCAAGAAGCAACTTTAACTATTTGTGGAGAACCATGTCGTGTTGGTCCTCCATGCAGTCGGTAGCACATTCGGCATTCTACATTTATCAGACAACTGTTCCACACCAATCGAAGATGCGATGGTAGCTCATGCCCATACTAACTGCGAAGGAACGAGCAAACCACTCGTGATAAAAGTCAAAGAAAGCTTAGTTAAGCCTCACAAGGCTGGAATTTAAGAATTGCAGTCTCAGGAAAGACAGGTCCCATTTTCTATATTTCACATAGCTCAAGACCAGGAGAAAGTACGAAGCTGACGAGAAGAGCATTGACTCACAACTAGAGTTTATTGAGAGAAACGCCATGAATGAATGCAATGCACTGCATACTCTTTACATCAATACCCTTTAGCGCTGTGAACTATCAAAAATAAACTATTGCCAACCAGCCCCGATTTGCCTCCTCCTGGAGCACAAGCCTGCTTGTTGAAACACTCACTCCAGCAGCATCTGATGGTCAGGAATTTTTTAACTAGGGATAGTTGAGGCTGCACACTTTTTTTATCTGCTATTTCAGGGGTCTCAAACACATAGGCCATGCACCCTCGCTCACTGCACGGCTTACACAGTAGTGTTTTTGCCCCATTTTCTAAACGATTTTTCTTAGGTATGCTTAAGAGCTACATAGACGAGAGTGCTCTCAAGCATTTTCTGTTTGAAGCACCCTATGTGCTCACCATTTGTTAAAACATAACCATTGAATAAAAACTATTTCAGAATAAGCCTCCACATTTCTAACATTGTAAAGATCAGAATCGATATGGCAAAGAACTTCTTTAAAGTGGAAATGTTTGCCGAAATTTAACTCAAGCTGCACCCCGTCTCCTTAACAAGCTTCTTCACCATCCCAGACTATCGGGAGTTTCAAATTTCATGACGGCAGCCCACTAGTTGAGGTGAATTATAGACACCTGTTCTATTTCGATGCGCTTCGCTTCTCTTTAGTAACCTTAATAAACAGCACCCAGGATCAATTATTGCCATGTACACTTCTTTTTTGTATTTTTATGTAACAGGTCCACTACGTATACAACCGCTGACTTGTGCAAACTCCGCCCAGTGTCAGGGAACTTTTCAGGCTATTTTAATATCTTCTCGTAGTGTCTGGCGTGCAACAAGAACAGTAGAACACGAACAAGGCCACGAACAGTGATTCGATGCCACATGTATAAATGCCGACACATTTTACTACTGACTATATCACCGAAGGCCAATGGTATCACTTTCCAATATCAGTGTACAGTATGCATAACTTGAACTTCAACGTTTCCTTTCCTGGGCACAGGATTGCCCGATTAGAGTTCCACTTTAAACACGTCAACTATTGTCTTCTTTGAAATAACATGAATGCCAATTTTAAATCTACTCAAGTGACCAGGGCCACAGCCAGAAATATTTTTCACGGATGGGGTGTCTGACCCCACCCCACGATTGTATTTGTTTGGGCATATGTTGATATTTGTTTGTGTATATATGAACACGTGACATGAAAAAATATTAAGGAGAACCGAACCCTCCTAGCCAGACCCTGACTACACCATTGCAAGCAATGAACACAACCCAGCATCCGACTATTAGATGCCTGGCAGGGCTTAAATTTTGAGTAATAAACTGTTGGGAGAGTTAGCAACAAAAACAGTGTGAAATAACAATCGACGAAATGAAGAAAGGCCACTGGACATCCTGCCAGAAACCGTGAAGGCACAGGCATACATACATTTTCTAGCGGAAAGTTTTTGCCCGAGACATCCAGCGTCGTGTCGCCGTCGAAGCCATCAAAGTCTAGCACGAGGGTTGTTTTGGGGACCTTGAAAGGGTTCACAGGTGCCAGGCTGTTCCAGGGATCAGACTGAAACAACATTAAAGCACGTCACCCAACACATCACAAATAAGGCAGCTTCGCACTAGACGTGAAAAGCGTGAAAGTATCGCAGAGCTCCTGCCAACCTTTTTTTTTTTTTCGGTTTTCGTTTCCTTTCCCCCCCCCCTTTTCAGTTCTTTTTTGTGTCTTTTTTCTCCATATCTCATTTATTCTTTCCTTTCTTTCTTTTTCTTATTGTCAAACACGACTTTGCCAGCGTTACACCAAGCACACTATAGGAATTTTCATAGTTGGTTATTGCCTGATGATGGTACGTGATACTCGGAAGCTGTCAAATTCACTAACCTCTCAGACTGGCTTCTCATAAAGTTATAAATAGATGAGTTACCAAATAACCGCCATGGTTTAACGTAAGTACCACTCTGTAAGACTTACGAAGGCCACTGAAGTATCACGATACTTCGAGAGACCAGTCTAGAGCTCAGTCTTACAACAACCATTTATACCAGGACTTCATTGGTGCCGTTGTGAATCAGTTTGCCGGAATTAAGCTTATAAACCATTCCATCTAGTGCCTGTAAATAATGCAACTTGGTGTTTCTGGCATTGCAATGCTGTAAAAAAAACAGCTGATATCTTCCACTGAAACAGAACTTTCGAACTTTCCGTTAACAGTATCCAACTATTATGTGACAGTACGCGAGCACCTGGAGCAGACAACGCAGCACAAGTATCAAAATTGGCCGTAGGTCAACAAGAAGCTTTATGAAATGGGCTATTTCTACCAGTTGTACAATTTTGTCCTACGTTTGGGCAAGCCCATTTCATGTTCTATTTCTCAATTTTTTGGCGCACCTTCCTCTTTTTTGGATTAAATGTACAAGAGTCATTATGAAGACGTCGTACTGACCGGTCTAACGGTGAAACCGAGAATGCTCGAGAGGACATCGCCGATCTGCGACGACTTGATGGTCTCGCTGGACACGAATTTCACCGCCTGAGGAGCAAGCGGAACGAAGACCCTTTCGGTCGCACACACTGCGCCGACGAGACCTGCGAAAGAGATGCATCGACAGCTCAAAAAGGCGCGGCTAGAAGACCACCACACCCCTAGTAATTTCGATTATGGTCATTTCGCGCTCGTACAGGCTGAATCAAAGCGCGCCGCACATTACGAGATAGCCATTTCGGACATTCTCAGATCCGCAACCACCTGAAAGGGGAGCAGATAGCTCTTACAGCATTCTAATTGCAGTTAGGCGATAGAAAACTCGCAGCACTTGGCGTACGGCCGACCTTGCTTGAGCAATGGTTTGAGGCAAACATCTCAAGTTTGATAAACGGTGGTGAGCTGAGCTTTTATTGTTTTTGAAGTTATAAAGGCAAGTAAAGCTGGCATATAAACGCTGCTGGACGGCTGCAAGAAACAACTCGAGGATAAGTGTAAAAATGCGCGAGCGAAGCCGCACCGGCAGTGAAACAATCATGTGACGCGAACGGTGGTTGCATTTGCTACCACCTTCAATAGGCTGCTCCAGAGCACGTTTCCACAGTTAACTACAAGGCTTCGCTTTGAGCAATCTGTGAGAAGTGCCGCTATAACAACGGTCCAACATACCTATGAATACTAGAGCTGAATGATGCATTTGAGCGACAACTACGCGATCAACAGCCGAGAATTATTGGCAGACACACCGCCCGCGAACGAAACGAGCCGACGGCGCAGTTTTGCAGTTTCGCAAATAGATGGCGATGCTGATGATGATGATTAAAGGCCTCCCCTTTGAATCGGGGTGACGGCATGCGCCATCTAGCCTACCTTAATAGTTCGAGTTTAAGTTCTGTCCCTCAACTCGGATGTCTTTTTAATTTTGCCCAGCCGCTACTCTTGGCTGGGATGTTATTTTATCGACTTCTCTGCTTTTCCTCCACCAATACTCCAGCCGCTGCTTAGTAATACCTATTGCTGACCAGTTAATGCTTCCATCAACCGCGAAGCCCAGCGCCTCAGGAAGTGTGACCTTCCCCCCATTTCTATCCGGCTGAATCTTTTGACATTCCATGACTATGTGGTCGATTGTTTCTTTATTTATGCCACATCCAACACATGTCTCATCCTGGGACGAATATTTGCTCCTGTAAGTTAGAGTTCTCAAGCAGCCAGCCCGCGCCTCAAAGAGCAACGCACTACCTTTATTGTTGTCATAAAAGTTCTCTTTCCGGATCTCTTGTTTGCTTGCCTTGTAGATTCCCAGCGATCCCTTCTTTTCCATCCTCTCTTTCCACATGAGCGTCTCTGTTTCCCTCACTTGCTTTTTAACTGGCCCCCTTTGCTTATTTGCCGCGGTCAAGTTATATTTAGTCGCCAGCTTTCGCGTCCTCTTCCGCCATTTGGTGTCCACACTTTTCAGGTACAGGTATCTGTGCACTCTGGCTGCCCAGTTCTTCTCATCTAAATGTCTAAGTCGCTCCTCAAACCGTATTTTACTTTGTGCTTCCCTCGCCTCAAATGAAGCCCAACCCATATCGCCTTGTACAGCCTCGTTTGTAGTCTTACTGTGAGCTCCCAGAGCTAACCTGCCGACTGCCTTTTGGTTAACCTCCAGCCCCGACAGGATATCTGCCAAGTGCAGTAAGAGCTCAATCTTAATCGGTCAAGGTTGCTCAAATTATCAGTCTTGAAGTAATCACGTCTACGAGTAGGCTTGTGTGTGCACATAAAGCGTAGCTGGGGAAGAAAAATATTGCCCGTATCACGAACAAAACACAGACAAGGTTTTCAAGCATGTATGTACAGTGGTTGTTGCTCACTCCTGAGAAAGCGCCGCCCCGTTTCGAAGGGCACTCTTCGAATTGCAGCCTTCGCGATTGGCTACGCGTCGCCGGTTTCAATCGCTGAGGCCACAACTGACCACAAATTCAAAGAAGCCACATGGAGGAACTACATGAGGTAGACCAGGTACGCACGTTAGACAAGGCGTTGACAGTGTTTACGGCTCCTACCAACTGCACGACTGCTTCTCCAGCTTCTGCGGCGGGCTCATTGGTGCCCAAAAGCAACTGTCGTGTTTATTGTTGCGTGCCACTTTGTACATCGGCTAGATCGAAACATCCTGACGTTTCGTTCCATCGTTTCCCAACCGCCGACCCTGACTTCAAGAGACGGCAGCTGTGGATCGAAAAAGTGTGCTTGGACAAGCCACCTTCGCCAACGATGGTAATTTGCTCGCGGCATTTCCAGCCACTGGACTTCTTTTATTCAGGTACTTGAACTTGCTTGGCCGCGCGGTTTTTCTTGAGAGTAAAACGCTCATGTGCAGCTAAAGACATTGTTTCACTCACGTTCTTCAGCACGAGAGTTCGTGCACGATTATGGTTTTGAAGCTTGTGAGGGGAGGGGGAGGAGGTGCTTTTATAAACCACTGCTTTGTCACGTTGTCAACAAACCTCACGGACTGCCAACAAGACAGCTCGGATGAAAGTCGTCCGTTAATATTGTTGTGCCCAAAGCAGGAACTGTCCTAATAATGTTGCACTGTTCGATGAAGCAAGTAATTAGGACAAGAAGTACCGAATTATCGCTATGGTTGAGTTCTTACGTCAATCCTGCGACCGCTTCTTGGTAAAACATGTTGAGTGACAATGTTGTATGAAAGCTTGCTCGTGGATAGCAGCTGTTCACCTTGCCCGGCAACTTTTTTTTTTTTTTCGTTGTTTCTGCAGCATATAGATATCCCTACTAAACCTATTTCTCTGTTTATTGTGTAAGTTTCCTTTTTTTTTTCTTGCAGCAAGGCATTTCTAAAGAATTAGTGAGAAACGTGCAAGGAAGGTACCTCTGGGCGTACATATTATTTTGATGATTGCATGTAGCAGCAGTGAATACGTTAAGTTACAATAAATGTAATCTCATATTGGTGCTGTGTAATGTTCGTTGCAACATCTAGTATGTGGTAAAGTGCTCATTTGCAATCTTTGCCGTGAGTCAAGAAGTTTGAAATTTTGCTTGGCCTATGCAACCACATCAAATCAAACAAAATATTTGAAATAGCTACCTCTTTTCTCCAACCACCTCTCCTTGGAACATTTAGACAAGCCCTCTAGCCTCAGTTCCTGGGGAAAATTTTTGATGCAGTCCCAGCCAGGGTTGCCACTGGTGGATACGTTTAGCTGAATTGGCAAATTTGAGAGGCCCGTGGCAACCTAAAATTGGCGGTGGCTTCATGGCAACTTTTGGGTCCAGGCCTCAAGTTATGCCTTCTATGCGCATTTCCTTCTCAACGAATGGGTAACATTTCTATTTTTCTTGTTTCTGGGCTCGTCAGTATAAGGTTCACTTTACGCATAATCCAGCATGTCCATTTTGTTTCTCGCCTTTATCACCTCAGTTAATGCGCCTCCCCCATCAAATTCCCAGTGAAATGTAAGGCAGTGGACTGCTTGGCCTCCCATGAGCTGGTGGTGTGGGACTGAGTTGATTAGGTGCTTGAAGCTTCTCTTAAAGTTTCAGCTCTGAAGTAGCTAGATGAATGGTAGGCCACAAGTTCAGACCGTTGCTCCAACTGTTCTAAATCGTATGTCGACTTCGCTGCATCAGTACCCCCAATTTGGTATTTAGATTTTGTCTCGTTATTAACATAGTTTTCAGGCAGACCAAGAAATGGTCTTTTCTGGGCAACCTTCAGAAACTGCACCTAGGAGAATGTGTAGTGTAAGCTCAGAAGGATGTTGCGTGCTAGCGAACGTCATGAATTATTTTTGAAGCAGTTATTTCTGCTCATTTGTAATTGACTTGTTCCATTATTGGACGTATGATTGCACAGCATTGAAATTCTTTCATTTATCTGAAGAAGGGTTGCACACATCATCCGTCTCTTGTTATAGCGACAGCTTCGCTCTGTATTCGCTTCAACTGAAATCGGTTCCACCGCAAGCTTTCGATATGAGGCACTAGCATTCAGGGATGCGGCTTGTGTATGCTCTCTCTCAGTGCTCGCCACTGGAGCCATCATGATCCTGACACGTCTGATTTCATATGCCGAAGCGGAGTCTTTTATCATGTCCCCTTGAATAACACGGAAATTCACAATAAGACAAAGCTGGACCTTTGGAATACCACCTTAGGGATCAAAAGTGGCCTTCGTCTGCGGTAAAAACTGTCGACAAAACTAGGTTGTTTCGAAAGAAGCTTTTTTGCCAAATGGCGGTGAATTACCCCGCGGCTTCCAGCGTTTACCAATAGTGTCCTTACGTAATACCGGGGCATATGCCTCGGGGTCAAATACATAAAGATACTGATGGCATACAGGTGGATGCGTGGCATGTGCGCAATAAAAAATTTTGTACTGAGGTATTTTCCACTGTTCTCGGCGAGTATGTGCCGTAAAACAACTGGTAAATACCATTTTACTTTCTCTTATATTCGTTTGAGTAACTCTAATAATTGGGCATTGGTGCCTAGTATCATATTAGTTCATAATAAAAGGTATAAGAATCACTAATAATTAGTTCCTTTAAGAATTCTGTTGTGCATTACCTTCAATAAACCTTTCATTATGTATAGGGGACGTAAAGCTCTCTGGAAACAATGCTGTCTCAGCTTTCATGGGAGGTTTACCACACTTCCACCTTTCAAACCAGCGGAAGATAGATATCATGAGCATTCCAATCGTAACAGCTGTAATGCTTGCATCAACAAACCCATCTGAAGGCTAGTCAGAGAATCGGACGCCCTAAACACTCCCATAGGGAAGCTAGCAATGCCACTGGCTTTGAAAAACTTCAGTATAATTTAGGGGTGATGGGTGATACTGGAAGCATGTGACACATATCTAGAATGGGCAACTGTTTTGGCAAACTGTGAAGAAAAATGGCGACATTTAGTGGCTTTTTGTTCGTCGTTTGGCAACTATTAACTGAAAAGTCAGGGGCAACCCAGTCTAACCAATATATACCGTACAAAGGCATTAGTTTTGGCAAACTAAGTTCTCACTGATTGCTGTTGCAATTTTTTCAGGTTACTTCTGCTACCGCCGTAGGCTAAAACGAACAGCAGTGCCCAGCCGGAAATTTGCCGAAGCCCAGAAGTGTAGAGGTAAGGGCAAGCTATCAACCAAGTAGTAAAGACTGCTTTGCCGGAAGGCAGAATTATATAGAGGGATAGTGTCTTACTAATCAACTGAAATGTTTCTTCAAAGCCTCCTAAAACTATGCATTCAAATGCATCCCGGCCTCTTAATACTATTTGGCTCTTCATGTTTATCAGTTACAGTAATGATACGTACATACTTGAGTGGATGCATGTGTACGCAGAGCTACCACTGTTGGAAACATGCTGTGTCCATGAAAAACTGAATAGGGCTGTGCCATGACACTTGCCCATCTGTGATGTACGCGCATTGTGTGGAAAATGCCGTCACGATCAGCGATGCCTCACGTGGCAGCGCTAAAGGCCGTGGGCATGGCTCTAATTTCAAGAAATTATCTCTTCTCCCCTCCTGGGCTCGTCTTGCTTCCGTGTGACGTTGCAAAGTTGAATGTGGGATGCGTAGTACAAATCATGTTCCCTATGTTGCAGAGGCGGCAGCTCTTGCTCACTGGCATGCCAAGTCACTGTACAGATATACACTCAAACCTCATTATGACGAACCTGCATCTTACAGAAAATAAGTTTGTTATATCCAAAAATTTATTATACAAGTTCTTAGCACTGTATCTATTGCAAGACTATTCTTCATCAACTTCGTTATAACGGATCTTTCGTTATATTGAGGTTTCAGTGTATCATTTTCGAGATCTTTTGAAGGCATGCGTACAACACAGGGTCCGTACCGCCACGATTCGTATAAGCACGGGCCAGCACAGCAACAGCGATTGGCCAACAAGCAGGGGAAGTAGAGTGTTTCAAATAATGCGTCAGTGCGGATGTATGCCACGTGAGAAGGGGAAAGGCACTTAGCAAGGAGGGCAAAGCGGCTTTGGGAGAAGAGACCAGTGGAGGATTGCACAGGAAAGAGGGAAAAAAGCGATTGCCATGTTTCAATTACCAATTGTGTCCAACTCCGCTAACGGCACCGAATCTAAAAATTCCGACGGCTAAGTGTTCATTGTCGACTCATGCACAACTTACACACCACAACTATATTTTATTTCGACTTGTTTGACCTATTCTCTTGAACTTGCACATTTGCACATTTACTCTTGCTTTGAGATGTCGATAACGTAATAATCTCTTGTCAAGTGCCTGTTGACGAGAGTACTCATTTCACTCTTCCATGAGTTCAGTGAACAAATTCAACGGGCGAATGTTATTCGGTGGGAATGTCATTAGCTATGCCCGTGTAGCAGCAGCAAAAATGACTTTAATGCCTAATGCCATTTGTAGCAAATGACATTACAGGTGCCATGTGACAGGGTTATTAAAAAGTTATCTAAGCCATAAAAGTAACTCGGTTACTGTTGCCAAGTTTCCGGATGTAACCTGTTACAGTTGCCATGAAAAAGTCGTGTGTTTACTTTTCAATTACTGTACAAATATTACAAACCAAACGATAGAATTTAATAATGAATATATATGAAGAATAACGGGAAGTGCGTCACTAGTGAGGGCGATGTCCATTGTGTCTATTCTTTATGTTCATCAATTTCAAGGAGAGCTCTGCGTTCGCTGGGCAGACAAACACTTGTTAGCAAAACCTGAAGACCATGCACGTGCAGGCAATCTATGTGTCGTCATCTGCCAAGACGATGCGAAGATTGCGAAGCAATAAGGTTGCATCTGCTAAACGAACCGGAAGTAGTCAAGAAAAGAAAGTCAACCATGCAACGTCTGCCTAATCAAAAGGTACTTTTCTAACACTGCCAGACATGGCGTAGCTTTGACGTAAACAATGCGACAACGTTTGGTCATGAACAAAAGCGGGGGGGGGGGGGGGTTATAGCACGAAGCCACAAGGAAATCCGTACAGATTTCCTTGTGGCTTTGTGCTACAAACGGGTGGTTGTCTTCTGTCTATTTCATAACCCTTCCGCCACTTTGTGGCTTTCCGCAGAACTTATTTGCAAGGTTTCTTATCGTAGACAGTTGAACTCAAATTTGTTCGGCTCAAAATTGTGCCTCCTTTTATGACTGCTATCCTACAGCCGACGCATCGTTTAGGATAAGGAGCCTCAGGATTACACAAGAAGCTACAGAAAAAAAGGCTTATGTATGTCGACGGTTCCTTGTGATAAGATATAATGCTGCTGTAATCAGTTCTGGAGCTTTTTGGCATGTGTAGTTCTATGATGTAAAGCAGAATGAACTACTTCAGACATGCTTTTACCACTCCTGACTGCAGCGAAGATATGGGGTTTAAATGCCTATAAACTGAGCATGATGAAGGGAGGAAGTGCCGGCACAAACAGACATCTATAGAGAAACTACACGTACACACAATAGCTGACTGACAACGGGGTTTAGTGAAAAAAAAAAGCACACCTTGTATATGTCAGAGTGAAGCAAAAGAAATAAAGAGTAATGCAATAAAGTTAAAATTAAGCTAACAACACAAAGCACAAAACCGCCAGCCAAGGAAAGAGCTTAACAAGGCATCTTTAATTGTCTTCTGAATTTTGTAACCTGATGGCCATTTCCAGAAGAATTTCAAAGAGATCAGGATAGGTGGGGGTGATGCACTTGCTGGCAAACTGCTTAATGTGGTAGGCTTCTAAACGGATGCGTGCACTCTTGTCTTTACTCTTACGTATCATCGTAGTCTCTTCAAACCAGGCCGCTCAACTTGTGCACTTTCAGTTGCTCACTATCAAACCTGGGTCCTTATCATCCATTCTGTCAAATATTTTGCATGTTGCTCTGAATGGTCATTCACACAATTGATTTAATTTCCACCGCTTCACTTTGACGAGGTGTGTTATCAATAAATCCAGTGGTCAATCAGCGCTCTACATACATGTTGTTTCTGGTACGGGTCTGTTGGCGTTGGTTCTTCCTTGCTCTGTGGCGAATCAACTCACCCAAAAAGAAGTATTGAAGAACATGATAAATCAAGTCTTCTGGTTTCCGCGCTGCAAGTATACAACATAGCTGCCAATGTTGGTTGTTGCAGCTGAAGATGACAAGTTGCATGTGTACATGTATAATGTGTATTGACTTTAATGAAGAAGGTTTTTCCAGGGGTTACTGCAGCAACAGCAGTGAGGAGAAGGCCATGGAGGTCATGCAATATCGGTCCTTAAACAGTTTTTCTGTGACCACTTCCTTTGTATTGCTTCTTGAGTTTCCTTAATTGACCACACTCCTTAGGCTCTCGTTCGACCAATACGGGATCTCCCGGTTCGTAAGTCAGGGCTTCTGAACATTTCTTGTTGTATCTTGCCTGCTGTTTCCTTGCTGTTTGAGTGCTATTATGTCTTCGTAAATGCTCGCTATCCGCCAAGGAAAGCTGATTTTACAATTTCTTCGGTAGTAAAGTATGGTTTCTTCGGTAGTAATTTGAATCTTTATTTCAACTGCATTGATGTGACCAATCTCTGCGACGCTGTCAGCAAAACAGTCACAATACTCTCAATGAGTCGCTCGAATTTTTTATGGTGCTCCGTTGTTATGCTTGGACTAGGGCTGTGCGAGTATTCGAAAGTTTTAAATAATTGGCAAATATTGCATTTTTAATATTCGTATTCGATAACCAGATATTCAAAAATTTTGAATATTCGAACTAACTCGAATATTTCTCGAATATTCTATGTTAACGAATATTCGTTTGTGGGCTTGTGCAAATATTCGAATGCTTCGAATATTCAAACGAATGAATATTAGGGTAATCGAATTCGCTTCTGTTCGAATTTACATTACTGAAAATTTCGAAGTATTTGCAAGGAAGGAATAAGTGCCAATTTGTCCGAATGTACCGCTTGTATAGGTGGTTTCAATGCAGTGTAGGAGTGCTGATCCGTGAAAGCACCCTTGCCAAAGAAATCCATTTTGTTCGCAAAGCCCCCCTTCAAATTCAAAGGGGCCCTGCAACACTTTTTGAGCATTGTCAGAAAACGTTGCAGATCGGAAGTTGGGGCTGCTGAGGACACGCAGCACGCGGTGTGCGATTCATAATAAATTCTCAGTCTGCTTAAAATTGCTTTCTTTTCTCGGCAAATGACTCCACAAGCTCAGAAAGCACGTGTGGGATATTTTCTTTTCCCGTGTCATTCCTCCTTGTTTAGCTTCCAGTGCTTTCGTCCTTTAGCTTTCGTCATTTAGCTTTCGTAGTTTAGTGTTTAGCTTTCATCGGGATGAGAAGAGAGAATGCACTAGCAGCATTCGAGAAATCTTTGTGACTCCGCTCATACTGGACGGATTTTAAAAATATTTTTGGCGAGTAATTCATGAGGCCACAAATAAGCTTCTTTAGTGAATGCATTCCATGGCTACTAGAAAAAGTGTTGCACGACCCCTTTAAGCAAAAATATTACTCTCGAATCAATTAATTTTTATAAGCTTAAAAGCTAGTTATGACGGCTTATATGCTGTGAGTATAATAAATCCTAAAATTTTATGTATTTTAATGGTTATGACTCGCATCCTACTAAATATAAAATTTTCCTACTACTCAAAGTTTTTTTGACTTCTTTTGAATGAGAAAAAAAAGAGAATTTGCATAAAGGCTCTATTTCATGAAAAAAAAAATTTTGTGCAGGCTAGTTAGGTCATGATAAATATGCCCATTTTTCTTTATATGTCATATATACTATTTGAATTCGATACGAAATTATTCGATCAAAATCACTGTTAGCTTCGAACCTAAGATTCACGTGGTGCAAATGACTGAGGCGCGAAAAACATTTTGTGAAGCAGGAGGAGAAGAAGAGAAGAAGGAACACAGCTTTGTTGATCGTAAAATGGTGAGCATGGTCCTCGAAAAAGGCAACGGATGCAAGTGAGATAAGGAGTATTGCTATGTAGTTGAAAAACGCCCCAAGTACTCCTATTTTCCTGAGTGACTTGACGGGATATGAGAACAGGAGACAAAATTAAAAATAAAACTATAAAATTGGAGTCTTCCGAGCTAAAACTGGATGAATTGTGATCACCTAGACTGC